ATCCTAAGGTCTTCATTATTCGCTATATCTCCTGCTTCGGTTAGATACCTGGCTATGTGTTCGACTGTTGATTCATTGGTATCCCCAGCAAACTTTGTAAACTTAGGGACTTTATATCCCCTTGGTAAATCAGAGTGCACTATGTAATCTAATATAGGAGAGGCATAATTTGGCCTTCTAATTCCTGTGTTGATGCCATTCTGGGCCATGATTCTCTCTATCATGGTGGTTAAATTATTTTCTGCCAAGATGTTATCGTTTCGAATTCTATGAACGACTGCATCAGCATCTTGATTTTGACCCACCATGACAACTCCTCTAGGTTGTTCTTCTCGAAACTCTGGGACTTCTAGCCTTTCGACCCTTGCCCCTGGTTCCATAATTCCCTTTGTGGGCCTTGAATCATTGGGGCTTCTAACCTTTGTGCCCTTGCCCCCAAATTAACCTCCTCTCTGGCTGGTCTATAGGGTGGGTCGTTAGCAACTTGTTCTATGATAGGTACGTTTGCTCGAACTCCCGCCTGATTCTGCCTACGCCTTTCTGGGGGAGCGAAAAAATCTGCTATTCGACTCATGTTATCTGCGTTTTCTCTGTTTGTCATAGTTACATTTTGTACTATTGGGGCAAAGATCTCCTGCATAGTTTGTGCTAATACTCCTATCATATTATGGTTACTGTCATCCATTAATTGCCTAAAGGCCAACTGATTTTCTGTGGTTAAGATAGGCATTGCACTATAACCCACTGATCCCTGGTTATTTGTCATAAATTGGTTTTCCCCAGACCCAGACCCTAATTATGGTGACGTATTCGATGTCGAAGTGTGCAGACCCACCATAAAAGATGTTGGCATCCCATAAGAGGAATTTCTGTGTCTGTTAGCATCGAACCCGGGTGGTCTAGTTAGTGGGGTAGCGAAATGGGTTTGTGTCCCTTATGGTGGGGCGAATCCCCCAGGATAACCAATGGTTCCAGTATTTCCTAGGATCGAACTGTTAGTTGACATTCCACTTGTTCCATTAGTGGCTACACTACTAGTAGAAGATGCAACAGACTGTGCGTTCGAAGGGATCGCATTAGATGTTCCCATCGAAGCGGACATATTAGTGCCTGTTGTATGTGGGATATTTTGCTCCCCTTGTTGATTGTCTGGATTAGACATCTTGTTTAAACGTTTTCTTCTGGGTAAGGGTTGGTTGCTATTGGTTATTCTACCACTTCTAAGGTTCATATAACAACAAACTTATCACTCAGAGAGTACTTTTACAATGGTTATGTCTCAACAATTTTTACTTTGTTCTAAATTTCGTAATGACCAATGACGGTCCCACCGGGTGTGCCAATTTGTTTACAGTTATTTCTGGTAAACAACCGCTAGTCCTCCAAACTATCAAATAATCTTAATGACTGTTATTTAATCTCTCTGGTAACTTGCAGGATCGACTAGATTGATTCTATGGTGTATTGGTCGTTTGGATAATTCTTATTGTATAATTGATATTCATGTTTGGTATTTAGATTGTTGTGTAGGTGTTCAACTTACTTCGATTACTCTATTAAAGATCTAATGACATGATCAAGTAAATACGTGTGAAACTAAATTGCATGAATAAAGGTTCAATTGTAAAGACATGTAAAACTGCAAAAAGACAAGTAAATAACTTCGAAGTATAAAAGCATGTAATGTAAAAGCGTTTCTGGAATGTAATAGGTTCGAAATAGAAAGAAAGAGTTTAAATGCAAGAAATAAGTAAAATGACTTTGGATGAAAAGGGTATTCGAATGATAAAAGCATGAAGATAACAACATAAAAGGTATAAGAATTTCTGAAATGTAAAGTACTCGGAATAGAGGGAAAGACTTTTAAATGCAAAGAATCAGTAGATGACTTTGAATGAAAAGGGTATTCGAATGATAAAAGCATCGAACCCGGGTGGTCTAGTTAGTGGGGTAGCGAAATGGGTTTGTGTCCCTGATGGTGGGGCGAATCCCCCAGGATAACCAATGGTTCTAGTATTTCCTAGGATCGAAATGTTAGTTGACATTCCACTTGTTCCATTAGTGTCTACACTACTGGTAGAAGATGCAACAGACTGTGCGTTCGAAGGGATCGCATTAGATGTTCCCATTGAAGCGGACATATTAGTGCCTGTTGTATGTGGGATATTTTGCTCCCCTTGTTGATTGTCTGGATTAGACATCTTGTTTAAACGTTTTCTTCTGGGTAAGGGTTGGTTGCTATTGGTTATTCTACCACTTCTAAGGTTCATATAACAACAAACTTATCACTCAGAGAGTACTTTTACAATGGTTATGTCTCAACAATTTTTACTTTGTTCTAAATTTCGTAATGACCAATGACGGTCCCACCGGGTGTGCAAATTTGTTTACAGTTATTTCTGGTAAACAACCGCTAGTCCTCCAAACTATCAAATAATCTTAATGACTGTTATTTAATCTCTCTGGTAACTTGCAGGATCGACTAGATTGATCCTATGGTGTATTGGTCGTTTGGATAATTCTTATTGTAGAACTGATATTCATGTTTGGTATTTAGATTGTTGTGTAGGTGTTCAACTTACTTCGATTACTCTATCAAAGATCTAATGACATGATCAAGTAAATACGTGTGAAACTAAATTGCATGAATAAAGGTTCAATTGTAAAGACATGTAAAACTGCAAAAAGACAAGTAAATAACTTCGAAGTATAAAAGCATGTAATGTAAAAGCGTTTTTGGAATGTAATAGGTTCGAAATAGAAAGAAAGCGTTTAAATACAAGAAATCAGTAAAATGACTTTGGATGAAAAGGGTATTCGAATGATAAAAGCATGAAGATAACAGCATAAAAGGTATAAGAATTTCTGAAATGTAAAGTACTCGGAATAGAGGGAAAGACTTTTAAATGCAAAGAATCAGTAGATGACTTTGAATGAAAAAGATTTTAATGTAAAGGCTTTTGAATGATATTGACATGAAGATAGAGGATAAACTGGAAATGATAAAGAGTTTTGCTGAATCATAAATATTTGGTGTTATCATACGTACATTGTTCTAGCATTTGTTTCCCTAGCCATGTGGTATTTTGAATGTTTACTGAATTTTGTACAATAGATATGACACACGAAATCCTAACGCTGAGACTTCTATTTATACTACTTCGACCATAACGGTCTTGCCTATAAGATTCTGCCACGTTCAGAACATGCAAAGAAATGCCCCTCTCTAGCTTCCACGTGTCTTCGAATGCTCCAACGCATATATTTTTTAAATTTCGAACATCCCGCTTGCGTTTGAATTTCAAATATTTTGGCACTCTTCGTTTCGAACTCATTTCTTGGACACAGCCTTGTTACCACTTCGAGACTTCTTTTGAATATATCCCCGTAACTGTCATTCGAAGCTCCGAGCTTTGACATTCTCATTCGAAGCACTGCTTCTACCATTTCAAAACATGACATCTTGCTTTATTCCAACGAAACACCCAACTTGCTTCGTTTCGAACTGTACCATCAAAATCTTCAGTCAACAGTTGCATGATTCAAATGTGTTTGTTAATCTTGACCAGGTGGATAGTTAATCAATCGATAACTTTGATTCGCCCAATTAGTTAACGAGTGGCGTGCTTATCTTGTGTGATAACACTATACAATAAGTTGCTATTCTATGTGGGAAGTTGTGTAATAAAACTAAAGAGAAAGTGGCACTTTCCTTTAATATGTTTTGGTCAACACTCTTGCGAGATATTGACGAGTTTTACGCACTCTGAATCCATCCTATACGCAGTTAGGAAGTTTTGCCGCAATATAAGTGCTACCATCCACCCTACCCTACCATCTATAGGCGCTCTTCCATTCTACAGTCGCCCTAAAAGGAACTTGAGTGATCTTGAATAGGAATCATATAACAAATATATAAAATCTCCATAAAAATATCACTAGATCGAGCACCAGTTATTTCATATTTGGTAAAAATCTTGGCTAATTGATTGAAATGAGTAGATTTAGTAAACCCATAGATCATTGAACAAATAGAGTGGGTAGGCTCAACAACCACTCCTCATAGTGTTTAAAGTCACTTGATCAACATTATTTTCAACAATGGCATAAAACTGTGGGATGGGTGTAGTGACAAACTTGAAGTGTTATGCAAATCGAGTTTGAATGATATTATGGGTGATGTTAGTGTCAACTAGAATAATAAATGGAAGTCCTCCAACCACACCTTAAAACTTGAGCATTTGAGCCAAAAATTGGCAAGTAAAAACTTGAGGTGAGAGTTGAAGATAGGTGTATGTATCGTTCTCTTTTATGGATTCTTCTGTATTATTTTAGTGATCTTTTACTTTGAGTGGGTTTATGTCATCTTATCCAAACATAGAAGAAAACAAATGCATGCACGCTTATATATTGTAATAATATTTGGTCACAATTATAACAAAGATCTTGGACACGATATTATTATAATTATGTTTAGGTAAAGCGTCTAATAGGGAGTGTGATTAGGTTTAAAGGACTAGGTTTAGGGTTTTACAAAAGTGGTTAAAGGTAGGTTAGGATTGGAAATTTTGGGAATTGGGTTGTTTTATGGTATAAGGCTTGGCTGTGAATATGGTTGAGTAGCATAAATTTGAAAATGTTTCTAAAAATAATATAACTATGAATAGAATCACGTGGTAAACAAAATATAGTTATGATGCCTTGGATGGCATCATATAGGTCCTTAAAAATATGATTGGTAGATTTTTGAGGCGTTAGGGTTTCATAAAGGAGGAACCATATGTTACAACTAAATTAGATCTAAGGTTGCAAAAGAAGAATCAACATAAGATATACATCATTTGCTTCATATTCATTTCTAACATCAACATTACCTTTAAATAGTTAGGGTTTTCAAACAACTACGAGCCAATTCTAATCTCTTAACATAGAAATAGAGAACCCTAATTGCACTAGAGTTGATAATAGTCCTAAGCCAACCAAACTTTTTTATTTCTCTTTTAAATATGCAAGGGCCCGATTCTAGCCTGTTAACATAGAAATAATTAACTTAATTAACAAAGATTAATTTAAAAAAAAAAATTTAAATATGGTAGAGCTAGTTTACCTTTTTCCTTTTTTGGAGTGAATGTTGAAAGGAATATAAAATATCAAGTGGACATTCGCAAGGTTGAGTAAGCCTTTGAAGAGTTTGAGTATTTGTGAATAATGAATTTTCACTAAATGTACATGCATGAGGTTTTGTGTCTGAATCAATGGTTGTAATAATTTCATCTGACTTTAATTCTGATGGTTCTTTATTTAAGGATGATGAAAGAACATCAACACCATATACTTGGTCTCTCTTCTTGTCGCTATAAATTTCCACCAACTTACTCAACTTCACACTAGCATGCTCTTTTGCATTTTTTTGACTAGATGGATTAATATTGCTTTCCTGAATCAAACAAATACTTTTGAAAATTAGTGTTAACCATATGATATATAAAAAATAATAGTATAAACTAATTTAATATCATAAAAAATGAGTTAAAGAATAATGTATCGTGGGATATGAAAAGATAGAGATGCTTACTAATAATAATTGAGAAATTGAGACATAATTACTACTCTTTTCTATTGAACTCCCATTCTGCATATAAACTATTATAAGTTTTGGTAACTAAAATATAAAATAAATGAAATTTGAAATAATTTGCATATATTTAGAGAAAAATAAACAAAAGTTTGAATTAGAAATATACATACATTAGTTTGAGTATTTGAGAGTGATAGTTCTGAAAAATTTAGAAAGCTTTTCTTGTTTCTACTCGAAGAACTATCTTCACATGCACGATCTTCGACAAATTCAACACCAAAACACTTCAAAAAAGCAAAGAATACTCCTTGCATCCAATTGAAAGTCATTGCTTCTTACTTTGATGTTAATCTCCCTGTAGAATTTCTTCATCTTCACTCAAATTAATCTTATATAAAATAGTATATAAACACCTTAAGTTTAAAACAAATTTATTGATTTTGTATGGAAAAATATGATTTTATTTGTTTGTGTTTATATTATTTAGATATTATGGAGGTAGTAGTAACATGGATATGCAATGAAGATGCATAATAAATATATGCAAAATATTTAATTTTCATAAGAAGATGATTAAAACCTTTCTATAAAATAAAATCGAAATCATCCAACTATATTCTAGCTAATCTATCTATATATATATATATATATATATATATATATATATATATATATATATATATATATATATATATATATATATATATATATATATATATATATATATATATATATATATATATATATATATATATATATATATATATATATATATATTTATTTTATTTTATAAATTATACATTGAGTTTGACCAACAATAGATTATAACATAGAACACAAAATTTTAAATCACCTTGCAACCTAAAATTGAGGGATGAAAGTTTATTTAAATGAACAAAATATGAAAATACTCTTAAATACAAAAATATTATATTGTTTTTGAAAATAAACTTAAAATTTATCACGTCCTAAATTTTGATGTAGCAAAATATTAGTAAAACATTACATGAAAATGACTAAAAATAAAATATAGAAGGATCAAATAATAACAAAACAAAAGACATGTAGATGTAACTTAATAAACAATCATGGATGTAAATTCTCTACACCACCTTCTATATCTTTATAATTATATTATTAATTTCCATACTATCTTTTCAAATTTTAATCTGTCTCTAATGAGAGATATATATTCTAAAGAAGAGAACATAAATACATAAAAGAAAAGTGAATTAAAAATGAAATAATAAAATGATATTGTAAAACCTTACCGCTCTATAGCTAATGAAAATATCTCTAACAACACTTTATTTCTTCTTTTCTTTCAACTTCTACCGCTCCTTATGATTTTTATTTCAGAAACTAATTTACTAAAAAATTGTACAATATCATATATTCCTTCTCTATAGTATTTATAGATCTTAATGTGTCGTGCTTATGGAAGGAAGAAAAAGTGGAAAGTATAAAATTTATAACTAGATCTGAAATTAAATAAATTTGCATATATGAATACTTCATTTTTCTAATTTACTCATTTGGTTTAACTATCATGTAAAACCAGTGGCAAGCACAAAAAAACAGCATACCTATTTTATTTTTCAAAATAAATTTTAAAGTGGTATTAATCAAATAAATACTTTTGAAACATAATATTTTTATTTTAAAACTTGACTTTACATAAAAAATTATATATATATATATATATATATATATATATATATATATATATATATATATATATATATATATATATATATATATATATATATATATATATATATATATATATATATATATATATATATATATATATATATATATATATATATATATATATATATATATATATATATATATATATATATATATATATATATATATATATATATATATATATATATATATATATATATATATATATATATATAAAATTTCTGGAAATAATTAAAAAGGTTTTGTTTTAATGTTTGAAGGAGAGAGGAATGGATAGCATAAAAAATTTTAAAAAAATATATAGAGAAATTTTTAATATATTTTAGAAAATAATTATATAAAATGATAAAATAGTACTTATAATTAATATATTTTTTAATTTTTTGAATATGCAAAAATTATATTATTTGAACAATTTGTTTGAGCTCTCTAAAATCCTCCTTCAATATAATTTCTTTAGTTCTCCTAAATTAGAGAAATTTTAATTTTCGAATAAAAAGAAATCTCCTAAAACTTTTTTCACGTAAACTATTTTATTTTTTCCGTTCAATTTTTCTTTTTTTTTTTAAAGTCTTTCTCTCTAATTGCCTTCAAATTCTCAAATAAAACTTAAAAAAAGTATATTATAAATAGACATTAAAAATAACATTATGAATATCAAAAAAATTCATAATATTAAAAAATTATCAGATATAAATATACAAACTTATAAATACTATCAACGGAAAAAAATTGGTATTTTAAAAATCAAACAAAAGAAATTATTTTCAACAAACATCAATATTTTGGGGCTAAGTACAAAGAGAGGTGGAATTGAGGATGTTGGTGAAATTAAGAGGGAAGTGAAATCTCATTTTGCAAACAGATTTTTTAAACCTTTGCATCTTAGACTTGTTTTGGATGGAGTTTTGTTTAACTATTTGTCTGATGATGATAAATCTTTCTAAGAAGCTCCTTTTTTGTTCGATGAAGTTAAGGAGGTGGTGTGTGTAGCGGTAGAAATATTAAGACTAAGTTATTGAATTGACTTGACTTGCACCTATCAAATAAAAATCGTCATCGTGTCTTATTGTTTTCAAAGGAATGAAAAAAGAGTAAATAACCCAAAAAGAGGAGGAGAGAATCTATGTTCGAGGGTTGGTTATGCAAAGGGAAGGTATTCACATCCTAAACATCTACGGTACTCCGCAGGAACCTCTTTGAAAATTTGTGTATTTTGGCTATAAATGTTGAATAAAAATAGATCGTGGAGATGAGAAAAGAAGTATTTTTTATAATTTTTGCACCCGCCGCGGTTGCGAACCTTTAGTGCCTACGTACCACCTTTCGTGCAATAGAGGATCAGGGTACTCGTAGTTCAACTTTAAAAGTTTTAAAACACAAGTGTGTTGGTTAATTTTAAGAGACTAGACGTCATCGTCTTACCCGAGTATAAAACATACTTACTACCCACGATTATGAGAAAGGAGAATTTGCGTCATCTCAAAGTGGAGGATATGGCTTGGATTTTAAAATCAACAAAGCCTCGCTCAACACCCAAGTGGAAAATATCTCACTTCACTACATATCGTAGAAGTATAGTAGCTCACATCACTATAAAGATTGACAAGAGTCTAATCTTTTAAGAAAAGTTTAAGTAAAAATCCAAAATGGAAAAATGATTTGAATGAGATTGATTGACTTTTAGTCTTCTCACAAAAATGTCAAAGTATGATTAAGTTGTTTAGATTTTGATTAAGAAAACACTTTTGAAAAGGTATGAACCTAAGTCCAAGTTTATTGCGAAAGCGGTTCAAGTTTAGAACACAAGAATAGTTTTGAAAAGGAGGGAGAAGGTTTTTGAAATTAAAGAAGATGAGAGCAGACGAAGGGACTATCCTAGAGCAATAAGGTAAAATCTAGGGAAAAGAAACGTCTAACCAACAAGAAGCTAACACTTGACATAATGAGTCAATGTAGAATTCTCATCCTTTAGATTGAAACCACACAAGAAAAGATAATAAACCTCTTTTAAGAAAAACCAAGCTTCAAAGGCATTAAGTCTTCACAAAAATTGGATAGAGTAACGATTGTATACAGATGAAGTCTCAATCACAGAAAAAACACATAATCAGAATAATCTGCACACAAAGAAAACAAACAATGCAATGTCTTGGGGTAAACCCCAAGAATGCCAAACAAAATAACATTAGAAGTCACATGGCCCCAAAGGTGGTCAAGGTATCTACTCCTAAGTTTCACAAGATCCACAATCTCCAAAATACCAAGGATGGTAACCAAATAGTCCAGGTAACATTAAAACTTTTTATAGTTCAAGTTAGTTATTAGGTATCTTCAAAAATAAAATGAAAGCTCAAATGAGCAAAGATGAAAAAAGTATGAAATCTAAATGCTAAAATAAATGATGCGTAAAAGTAAAGGCGTAAAGTAAAAGCATAAAGACAAAAGTCAACTGTTAATGAGTTAGAGATTAGTGGTTAGTTGAATGACCATCTTGAAACTTGCATTTGAAAACTCGTTAGAAGATTGATAAAATCAAAGCCTCTCAATAACAAGTTTAAATTGATTTTTGTCAAGTATATCATTCATTTCAAAATCTTGAGGCAACAATAAATGATCAATGATGTTTAAATGATTCACTTAGTCCAACATTTATGATGATTCATTAGAGGATTGATAAGACCAAAGCCTCCTAATAATATATCTCAAGGTTATTGGATCAAAGATTTCAAATTAAACATACTTGGGCTTGCAAACATAGATTTGGGTTTCGAATGATCATTTCTGGAATCGGGACAAAATTTAGCGCTATGTTAAGCAATCGTAAGTGGACTTATGTAGAAGTCACACCTATTTTGAGGTCCGTCCATAGCAATCTATGTACCATATGTTTGAAGAAATAATATGTAGATTATTCTCCAATAACATGTAGCACAAGTGAGAAGAGGATGAGATGAAGAGGGAGGGGATGAACAAGAATTAAATTCCATATTTGAACCAAAGAATTTAATCAAACTATTATTAAAATCATTCATCCACTTTTTGTGGAGTTAAACTCAACACCATATATCCAATGATGTTAATAATGCTCATGATTAAAATTTCGCATAGTCCAAGATCAACCAGAATATATATAAAAATAAAATTTCATTAATCAATCAAAAATAGAATTGAGAAAATTGATTTTTAAATGTTTTTCAAATGAGAATAAAAGGTAAAATAACAAACTATATCCAAAATATCAAAGAAAAATTAAAATAGATCATATAAAAGTCAGAAATGATCTCAAATATTTTTACAAATTTTTTGGTAATTTTTGAAAACAGAAAAGTATTTTTAAATTAATTAAAATTACTCAAATAAATGAAAAATGATTAAAAATAGAAAAAATCAAAATTAAAACCTAGAAAAAATGCACTAAGTCAGAAATGATATAAATGAATTTAATTATTTTTTTCAGAATTTTTGGACGAAAAATGAATTTATTATAAATTTTTTAAGTTTTTAAATGAATTAACAATAAAAAGTAAAAAGAAATTAAAACAAATTAATTGTAGCCATCAAATCTGGTCAATTCCAGTATAGTAATCGCATCAAGAGCTTAGATCTAGAGGCA